CACTCCCACCCCCACCCCCAGCACAGCCTCACTTCACCCCGCTCCAGCTCGCTCACAGGTGGGTTTGGGGGAGGGGGGAGGGATCAAACATTATCGCCTCTGCCCCCAGCTACCCGGGAGCAACTCAGGTCTCCCGCACAGCCCCCCTCACAACCAGATACACGGGGAGGTGGGATTTTGCTTTGAAAAACAATCCTCCGACGGTTTGGGGCAGGGGAGCCTGGCCCCTGGGTTCGGCTAAGAACGTGGGAAAGTTTCTTTATATTTTATATCCCTTTTTCCCAACTGGAAATTCACTCGTCCCGGCGTTCAAACTAGATACAGACGAGGGTGCGGAGGGTCGGGGCGCGGGTAGAATGCTCTCCCATTAGCATTTGTGAAGGCTACTCTGGAAGCCTCCATAATTCTGGGAAGCGAGGGAGCTTGCCGGAGTTCTAGGAAGTGGCCGGTGAATGAGGATGAGCTGCCCTTCGAGCACCTTTCTTATTGTTATTACTTCCCTCACAGATGTAAAACACTTCACTTTTGCAAAAGCCCTTCACACCCCACGTGGGCTTTTGCCGAACGCCCTAATCTAAACCAAGCCTTCCTGCTGTATTCTCTCCAAACATCCTTTACCCCCATCTGTAAGGATATATTCCTGGGAGTGTTTGTTTAATGCCGGCTTCCCGCCCGAGCCCCTGAGGAAACTGCCTGCCTCCCTCCCCAGACTGGTGAGCCCCTCCGTGGAGGACCTGCTGTGGTCTGGGTGGCGGGAGAAACAAACCTGTACTCGGCTCTGTTGTTCAAGGCAGAGATCTCTGAATGAGTCCTTCCAAAGCAGCCAGCTCTTCCAAGATAGTTTTTTATTGATTGATTGATTGATTATTAGAGAGAAGAAGGTGGAGAGAAAGGAACGTCGATGCGTTCCACTTATTTATACATTCATTGGTTGCTTCTTGTAAGTGCCCTGACCGGGGACCGAACCCTGAAACCCTGGTGTATTGGGACGACGCTCTAACCAACCGAGCTACCTGGCCAGGGCCCAAGATGGTTTCTGTTTATCGGCAAAGGAGAAATGAATGTCATTCAGAGCCTTCTTCAGGCCCTCAGCAACTGCCCCAGAAAAGGCACTCAGAATTGCCTGCCCGACCTTTTGATTAAAAGTCCCACCTTTGCCCTGGCCGGTGTGGCTTAGTTGGTTGGGCATTGTGGTTCACAGGAAGGTTGCTGGTTCAATTCTCGGTCAGGACACCAAACACAGAAAGTCCCACCCTGGTCCTTTCTCACCAGACCTGTGCCCTTCACCACACCAGTTGCCCTTTGTCAAGGGACAAAAAGGAGCAGAAAAAGAAGGGACAGGAAGACCAGAGCCCTGCTCACTCTGCATACCTCCAAGCAAATCGTGTCTCCTTCCTGGACCTCAAGCTCTAATTTCCACCTTTTAACGCAAGCCAGTAATTACTGACAAGTCTGAATTTGAAGGTTAACAGAATGATAAAATTCAACAAGTATTTATTGGTACTTTCACTTGCAAATGGAAAGATAAAAGACTCCCGGAGAAACCCTGTCACTGCAGGTTCCCAATCAGCCTGTCCAGAAACAAGCACAAATTCTTCTTAAAAATGTGGAAATACCCTCAGACTATGAGGATGCACACGAAATAAATCTTTAGATGGCTTCAAAGACAAGGTTTGGTTCAGCGCGCATCTACTGTCCCGATGCAGAACAAAGATAAGAAAGCCTCAAAGAGCTCATCTCCGAGGGAAGGGGACACACCTAAGATGGACCAACAGATAGGATACAGTTGTGAACAAAAAAAAGGGGGGGATCTATGGGAAGTGACCTGACAGGGTGACCTGATCATAAATTCCTAATTGGGCAGTTTATGGCGGGGGAGTCACACTCTACGCATATAACGTTTTATCTAGTAAATGGTGTATCTTTGCCTCGAGCAAGCCCTGCCCATTGTTTCTGTGAATATAGGTTAACACGCCTTTGAAATTAGCTGCAACCACCCCTGAGAAAGCTCAGAGTCTTGTTAACTATCCTGTAATCCAATCCCCACCTTGCTTCTCCCACCTCCATGTAATCTTCCTTATGTCTGTCCCCTCCACATTTGAGGTCTTGCTCCCAGCATATGTTGTCAGTCTGACTCTTCCACAAATTCTCTACAGGTCTGGGTCTGGTTTGTAAATAAGGAATTGTTTGAGGAAGGAGAATGTTTTCCTACGAATCCCTTCTGTATTAAAAGCACAATACACACACACACACACACACACACACACATTCAGAAGGGCCCCACCCGACTGGCTAGGAGATCTGTAGGTGTTTTCCCACATCCTGAGTTAAAGATCTTCTGGGTCCAGCTTCAGGGACCACAGTTTCACCTAGGAACTTCACTGGTTCCTTCTGCCAAAAAAAAAAAAAAAGTGTAAATTTTTACTGATTAAATACTTTTTAAAACCTTGGCTCTTCATTTGGAGTAAAGTAAAGCTAGCTTCCTGACTTACCCCGTTACAAATTAATTAATGAATTAATTTATAAAAGTCTGGATTGAAGATCTAAATGGGAAAAGTAAAACTATAAAAGTATAAGAAGAAAATATAGACTGGAGTTCTTCCTGAGACAAGGGAGGAAAATTTTAACATATTTGAGGGCGATAAAATTTAAAATTTACAGTTAACACATGCCCTAAACAGAATAAAAAGACAAAAATGTGATGGAAAAATACTTGCCTCATATGTGAGATAAAGAGTATATTCATGTAACAAAGAGCTTCTACACACTGAATAAATAGGAAGAAAAGCCTATAGAAATACAGTCCAGGATAAGAGTAGGGAATTCACTGGGTAGGAAAAGCCAAATTTCATGAACATATGAGAAGATGCTCAGCTTCAGGAGCAGTCAGGGAGATGCAAATTAAATCTCAAGAAGATTAACATTTTTTGGTCTAGCAGATTGGCCCTAGTGTTGGCAAGGCTGGGGAGGGGGCTGGGGGCCCTCTCTTACACTGTTGGGGTTCCAGCCCCAGGAGTAAAAACAATCCCACTCTTTCAAGTCCATCCTACAAGACATAATACAAGAAATACACACAAATATGTAGGCAAGAATATGTGTTGCAGCATTGTTCACAATAATAACAAGAATATCACAAACAATCTAAATGCCCATCAATAGGGGAGTGAGTGGCTGGATCTATTACAATATATGCACACAGTGAAGACTGTGCAGACACTACAAAGAATGAGCTAGATCTGTAGGTGTGGTCTAGGAAAATGTCCAGGAGTTATGAAAGAGTATAAACAAGGTATATACAGGTCAATGTGTCTGGCATTTTGGGTAAATGTCTACATAAACCCAGTAACAAATTGGGTGGAATATGCGACAATTTTTTTAAAGTGGTTCACTTTGAAGAAGGGAGTCAGGTAGAGGGAGAAACGCGTTCTCTTGCTTTATGAAATTTTTTTGAACCAGTTGGATTATGAGCAAATG